AATTAATGCATCTGTTTACTGTTCATTGTTTAGTACTTCTAGATGGGTCATTTTCCTCTGATATTGTACAGTTCGGTTATAATTTCTATATTTTTATATTTTTTTTATTTTTAGTAAAATGTTATAAATTCTTATGCATCTGGATGCATAGGACCAAAACATATGCTTCCGAGAACATCTAGCTTACAAATATCGACACAGGTGGCAGACGACAGACAGACGAATAGACGGACCGACGGAAACGGGAGATCTATTTTTTCATTCCCTAGGGGAGTTGAAATAGTCCTTTCCTCGCCCTCAGAAACCACACGCATGAATGGACGCATATTATTTTACACATTTTAAGTAGGGTTTGCTTACTCGATTTTTACGGTGACGTCATCAAATTTTTGGTAGGGATTGATAGCTTGAGCGTTCTGTCAGACTTACGCATATGCCAAATTTCACAGCAATTGATCCAGTTTTAATTTTTTTTTTGTATCTACAAATCTTTGTTTTTTCGAAAACTTGCATATTCAGAATTAAAAACAGATATAAGAGGACGTCTGTTTGAATTTTTTTTTGCCTGTTTTGTATTTTTAGAATTGTTTGTGATTTTTCTTTTTATTAGTAGTATTTTACTTCCCGAGCGGAGTGTAAGGAAGTATTGCACGAGAGTCCATCAGGCAACTGGCTACTTTCATGTTTTATGACTCCTAGAGTACGAAATAGTAGGTCTCCCTTTTTCGTGTGTCTGTCTGTTGTCTGCCGATTTTTGTTAAACACATAATCTCTAAAAACTACTGGGCTAATTGTTGTCAAATTTTATACGTATTTGATAAATATCGTGTAGATGGTAAAACGTTAACCAAAATTTGTTGGATCATCCCCCACCAACAATTCGATGCCGTAACTTCAAAATTTTGCATAGTAAATAAATATATTTAAATTTCTTAAAATATGTTACTATATTCGTTTTATTTTCATTTTGTTATTTTTATATTTTGTGGTTTTTTTGTCGCTTATGTAGTTAATTTTTTGTTGCCCATTTTGTCGATTTTTTTGACCTTTTTCGTCACATTTTGTGAGTTTTGAGTGTTTTGACGTTTTTTCTAACTTTTTCTACTCGCACTTTCTTGCTGGCGTTTTTTGTGAACTTTTTTTGATGCGTTTTTTTGTTGTATTCAATTATTTTTTTGTCAAATTTTTTGTGGCTTTTTTTTTGTAACATTTTTCTCTCTCATTTAGTGACCTCTTTTTTGTCACCATTTTTCACTCCCTTCTTTTGTCTGTTTTTTGACTCTCTTCTTTTAGTCGAATTGTTATTTGTCTCATTTTTTTAACCACTTTTTGCAACGGTGTTTACCCTTTTTTTATTTTTTTTCCTCCTTTGATTTCGGATTTTTGTGATTTTTTTTGAAGTTTTTGTTTCATTTTCATTGTGTTTTGTTGTATTTTTTGCATTTTTTGCGTGCTTTTGTTGTTTTTTGGCACTTTTTATTGTAACCACCTTTTTGTGGTCTTTATTGTCAAATTTTTTGGTCTTTTTTATCGCCTTTTACTCACATTTTTGTAGTCGTCATTTCTGTTGCATTTTTTATCGCCTTTTTTGATTGCTTTTTTTTGTTTTATTGACTTTTTTGTGACTTTTTAACTCCTCTTTTATTTTTTTTTTATTGACTACTTTTTGTAGTCGCTTTTTATTTCATTGTCTTGATGGTTTTAGTGATTTTTATCTTGTCTTTACTATAAAGTTGATCATAAAATTGCATAAATATGATTTATATGACGTCAGGAGCGAGGAAAGAAATACCTTTTGTATCGAATTCTAAATTTTTTGATTTTTGGAATTCTCGATTTCTCAATTTCGCAATTTCCCAGTTTCTCCATTTTTTTATCTTTCGATTTCGCGATTTTTAAAATTCTCAATTTTTTTTAATCTTTCGATTTTTTGAGCTCTCAATTTTCTTTTTTCGATTTTCTGATTGTCGATTTTATTTTTGGAATTCTTAATTTTTCGTTTTTTCTTTTATTCGATTTTTAGATTTTTCTATTTTTCGATTTCTCAAGTTTCGATTTTTGAATTTTTGCTTTTTTGATTTTTCAATTTTTAGAATTTTCGACTTTTCAATTTTTCGAATTTTAAACTTTTCGTTTCTTCAATTGTTCGTTTTTTCTAATTGTGTTTCTATTTTCCAGCTTTTGTAATTCTCAGTTTTTTTTTATTTTTCGATTTTTCAAATTTTCAAACTTTCGTTTTTTATTTCTATCGTGATTTTTTTATTGCTTTGTTATTCGATTTTTCGAATTCCCATGTTTTGTTTATTCGATTTTTTGCTTGTCAATTTTTTTATTTTTCCAATTTGCAGTTTTCTGATTTTTTAATTTTTTCGAATTCTCGATTTTCGGTTTTTGAATTTTTGTTTTTTTGATTTTTCAATTTTCAGAATTTTCGAATTTTCAATTTTTCGAATTCTAAATTTTTCGTTTCTTCAATTGTTCGCTTTTTCGAATTGTATTTCTATTTTCCAGTTTTTCTAATTCTTATTTTTTTGATTTGTTTTCGAATTCTCAATTTTTCTATTTTTCGATTTCCCAATTTCTCGATTCCTCTCTCAATTTTTCATTTTGGATTTTTCGAATTTTCTTTTTAATTGATCGATTTTTCGAATTCTCAATTTTTTGTTTTTCATTTCCATCGTAATTTTTTTATTACTATGTTATTCGGTTTTTTGAATTCCCATGTTTTATTTATTCGATTTTTTGCTTGTCAATTTTTTAATTTTTCGAATTCGCAATTTTCTGATTTTTTAAGTTGTTGAACTCTCGATTTTCGATTTTTTGCTTTTTTGATTTTTCAATTTTCAGAATTTTCGATTTTCATTTTTTCTCGATTTCCTAATTTCTCGATTTTCGTTCTGCATTTTTTAAATTTTCTTTTTAATTTTTCGATTTTTCGAATTCTCAATTTTTCATTTTTTTTACTTCTATCGCAATTTTTTTTATTACTCTGTTATTCGATTTTTCGAAGTCTTGATTTTCGATTTTAGAATTTTTGCTTCTTTGATGTATCAAATTTTCAATTTTGCAAATCTTCGATTTCTGTATTTTTCAATTTTTCGAATTTTTAAATCTCAGATTTTTCATTATTTGAAATTTCGATTTCTCAATCTTTCGATTTTGCGCCTTCCCGCTTTTGGATTTTTCAGTTTTTTATTTTTTTTTTGTTTCAAGTTTTCGTTTTTAAATTTTTCGATTGTTCAGTTTTTCCATTCATCAATTTTTCGATTTATTTCGATTGTTTGACTTGTCAATTTTTCAACTACTCAAGTTTTCAATGTTTCAATTTTGCGATTTCCCAGTTTTGGAATTTTCAACACATTTTTTGATTTTTCAATTTTTCAATTTTTGATTTATGGATTTATCGAGATTTCGATCTTTCGATTTTCCAATTTTTCGACTTTTCGATATTTTGATATTTCACTTTTTTGTTTTTTACAAATTTTGCGTTTTTTTTTTTAATTGTAGGATTTACGATTTTTTAATTTTCCAGTTATTCGATTTATCAGTTTTTCTAAGTTTAAATTTTTCAAATTTGAATTTTCCGATTTTGGGCTATTTCGATTTCTCAAATTTTCGATTCTTAAGTTTTCGATTTTTAAGTTTCCAATTTTGGGATTTTTCAATTTGGAGGTTTTTTAACACTTATTTCCATTTTTCAATTTTTTGATTTCTCCATTTATCGAGTTTTCGATGTTTCGATTTTTCAATTTTTCGATTTATGTTTTTTTAAGTTTCAGTTTTTCAGTTTTGAATTTTTCAATTTTTCGGTTTCTCAATTTTTCAATTTCCCGATTTTTTGATTTTTTAATTTCTCAATATTTTGATTTAATTTCTCGATTAATCGATTGTTTGATTTTTCGTCCTTTAATGTATCCATTTTTATTAGACGTGTAATCTCCGAAACTACTGGACCGATTGTTGTCAAATGTTTTACATATGTTAGAAGTATCATGTTCATGGTTAAATAGTAACCAAAATTTTGCTTTGTTTTTTACAAAAACCTAAATGCCGGATTAATAAACCACAAGTATAGAAGCACGCCATTTTATAAAATTTAACAGGATTTGCTTTGCAAAAATTTGAGATGACGTCATCAAATGGTTGGTGGGAATGAACAAATAGATAAATTTTGATTAATATTTAACCAGCTATACGATTGTCTTAAATACAACCAAAATTCCACAGCAATCAGTCCAGTTTCGGAGATTACTTGTCAAATATATATAAATAAAATTGAAAATTACAGAACACAGAAAAAATAAAAATGTAAATCTTTGTTTATTTTGTAATGTCTGAGGTAGATTCTTACATTTTCTTAGATCAGCTTTTATACGAAAAATTATATAGGTACAGCATGAATAAGGATCACCTGATTATATATTGTATTTTTGATTATTGAGGCAAGAAAATGTGGATTAAACAGTCCTCAGAACACTATTATTATACGTGAAATAAAAATTAATAAGAATAAATTATTATAGCCGTTACAAGTGGATAACGATAAACTTTATCCACGAGACCTGTAACAATTCATCACAATTTAATGGACCACGTATTTCGAGCAGTCGAAACTTAGTTATTAAACGAAACCACCCACTCGGTTGCCATTTCAGTCACGTTTCCATTGACAACCTTATTAACGAAAATCCACGACCCTCCTCGCCATTAAAATATTGCTTTAGCACCCGCTATGACAAACCCGGTCGAAATCGCACTCATTAGTACCTCCACCCCAAACTAACTTTCCACCCTCAAACCGCCGTCTTTTTTCCACTCCCGAATCGCACTTGAACCCACCCGAGCACTCTCGCCGCCCTTCCAACGACTCTCTTTTGTCCTGTAACTCCTAATCGCGATAGCGCCCTATCTTTTCATTTTGCGTGCGGGATAAAATTTAACTTTTGGTAGTCGCGTCCCGAAACTGCCTGAAAGGGACTTGACTCGGCTGTTATTTCCAGCGTTACGGAGCTATTTACTTGGCTGATCGAGCTGGGACAGGACGATTCGGAGCCTTACGAGGGCCCGAGGATCGTCTGGTCCGCCAAGTTTGAGCCGCACGAGGACGAAGCGGAAGGACGCAAGTCCACCACACGCTTCGACGTCCAGAAGGACGACATCCAGGCCGTGGTCCCCATCAGCAAGGTGAGTGCTATTTCGGGCAGCTATTTGCATGTTTACGACGCAAATGGCCCGCTAAATAGGCCATTAGCACCCGTCAACTTGTATCTTGGAAAAATTTCAGCCGAGATTTATGTGGCGCTGGAACGGGCTGTAATTAAATTTTCAAAAAAAAACGCCGTGGGAGCGCCAATTTTCCTAGAAAAAAAAAAAATCACTGATTCAGCGAAGACGACTTCGTTGCGAATAACTCCCGGATTCTTTATCTGTTGAGCTTGAGCTCGTGCTTTTTGATTTTATTCGTTTCTCGATCGGATTTGGATTTAGAGCGGCTCACGTTTCCTGCAGCGATGCACTGCCGGATGATGCAGAAGAATTCAAATTTTCTGCATAATTCGGATGTTTGGATGCATGTAGTTAGTTGAAGGAGTTCCGACACGGTTGCGTGCGGAAGCTTCTTGAAATTAACGAGAGAGCTTTCAGGTTTTTTTTCTCGGGGCTTTAGATGATGTTTAATGTGGAGTTATAACGAGTGCTCGTTTGGGTTAACAAATCACAAACGCGTGATAATTAATTATCTCGGAAGACCGGGGTGTGTGGAAAGTAGTTATTTAGCATTCTGTGGTCCGAACGCACCCAATTACTTACACCTGAGTTTCTTCCGGAAATTAATGTTCGTCGTTTAGTGTCTGAAAAATATTAATTATTCTCGAACAGTTTGGTGAATTTCAATTTATAATTTATGTTTGTGGTGTTTTTATTAAATTAATTAATTTAAATAGATATCCGATTTAATAGAAACGCAAAATCCAGTTAATTTTGTATTATTGATTTTGCCGCAAACGTAGGTGTGGCGACCCATTTTCAATTACACGAAAATATTTTTCGGTATTTACAGTGACAAACGAATATTTGAAACCGCTTTAAATATAAATACAGAGTTAATAAAAACACGAACAGAAAACACACGGTAGACACAACATTAAACGTCGGAATTTTTTAGCTGTTGACAAACATAAAATGTAAACGAGTTTTCTTGACTGAGTTCACATTTTTTGTACACTCTTGTAGAAACGAAACTAACCTATAAATAAATAGACAGTCGTTTGGTAATACATTATTAAAGTCTTGGTTGCTCTGACGGGAGGTGCAAAAACTGTATTAACACGAAATTAAAACACAATCTACTGATTTACTCGACAAGCATAATTCACTTATTATTATACTAATAAATAAATGAGGAGTCTGCATATTTAACGATTTTCTGTCGGAAATTGACGCATTTTCATGGATAAAATAACACAAATAACGCAAAAGCGCTGTAGGTTATTTGTCACTAATAAAACATTCCGGATATTAATATCCCGTTCAATTTTGGCTAAATTCCCGACATACACCACCAAATTTCCCTAAAAGTTAATGCTTTTTTGCAAGCTCCACTGTTTACCTAAATATAAGCTTTATGAATGAACTGACACTTGTGTATATTTTTGGAATTATGAAACAAAAACTGTCAGCGAACTGTTTAGCTAAAATTCATTTTTGATTTAATTGTATTTGGAGTTTATCCTTTTCAACCTCTCCATGTCGACTCTCAAATATTCTTGGTAGTTTATCGCTTGATTTCGCCCGCTAATGGCGCAGCTGTCGATTCTCATACATTTTTTGTATGTATCTCCTGGCTCGGACCATCGTTGTGTGCTTTTTTAGAAACAAGTGACAGATCAAATAAAAAATATATAAGGACCGAAGTCGCAACTCACGAAAGTCACATTATTTTTTTGTTGTTGTAAGCTGGCTTTTGCGTGATGAAACTAATAATTGAAACATAAGAACATTTTTCGTCGGTCGTTCTGTTGTCATGATTGTCGCCTCTTTGGTAACAATGTGATTTTTCTAATTTCTGTTCTAGTTGGTCATGACGCTTATGTCAGCCGTTTCAATTGCGCTGACCAACTAAAAAATCACACGGTATAAATAAATAAATTTTCGATAAGAGTCAAATTCGCGTAATACTAATCACGAACTGTGTATTGGCTTAGTTGTGATGTAGATCCAATAAAAAATTATAAAGCTCACAGTCGCTCGAAATCTCTCGTTCTAATGTCATAATTGTCGCCTCTCATGTATTTTTTGTAACAGAGAGAGACTGAATTAAGTCACTAACTGCGATTCTATATAAATCAAGTGACAGATGAAATAAAAGAAAATTTTTTGCAATTTTTGATAAGGCTCAAAGTAGCGTAACATTTCGATTTTCAAATTTTCCATTTGTGAATTTTTTCAGTTTATTTTTCGGTTAAATTTTTCTTTCTCTCAGTTAATCAAGATTTCAATTTTTAATTTGGCTTTTAAATTTTTCAAGTTCCCAATTGTGTAATATTTTATTTTCCCGAATTCTAATTTTTAATTTAATTAAAAAAGTACAAATTTATTAAATCTGGCATTTTCACGATTTTACAGTTTTTGGATTTTTCAATTTTTATATTCAAAGTACTTTTAACTAATTAATTTTTAGTTGCTTTCACCGCGTTTATTGTGTGGACTGAGCATTTTTTTTAATAGCACCCATTTTTTAGTTTTTAAAAAAATTTTAGTTTTCAGATTTTGTAATTTCTCGATTTTCCGATCTTTTTTAGAGAAAAATAAGGATTTTACAATTAAGCTCCGCCCCTCGGCTTACGACGAATAAAAAAGATCATCAGAATCGAGATAGGGCGGGTGGGCGGGGCTTATATTTTGCCTTTTTTTTTCTTAATATATATAGCCATATTTTCACAAGAAACTTAGAACGTGGTTAAAGTGGTACTTTTTGGGAAGGAAATATGGATTTAACAATTATAGGGCGGAACCTAATTGCTATATTTCCTTATCTAAATTTTCCATTTTAAATATATTTTAAGTTTCATGTTATGAAAAGAAGTCTGCACATATTAAAACAAAAAGACAAAATGTAAGCCCGCCCACCCACCCTATCTCTATTGTGATGATGTTTTTATTTGCCGTGAACCAAGAGGGCGGAGCTCAACTACAAAATGCTTATTTCTTAACGAGAAATTAAAAACATGTTTTTGAGTATCGTGTTGTGCAAAGAATACTATGCATATAAAAAAAAAATAAAGGCAAAGATTAGATCCCACCCATACCCACCCCGATCTTAATTCTCAATTGTGATGAATTTTTCATTCGTTGTCGGATCGAGGGGCGGGGCTTAATTGGAAGATCCATATTTGTCTACAAGAATTTACCTTTTCAAAAATTATAAGGGTCATAGTCGCTCAAAATCGGTCGTTTTAATGTCACGGTTGTCGCCTCTCAAGTATTTTTGGGAACAATGCATTGCGCTGACCAACTAGAGCAAACATTTAAAAAATCGCACTGTATAATGAACTAAATTTTTGATAAGGTTCAGAGTCGCGTAATACTAATCACGAACTGTGTACTACCTTAGTTGTAAATATAGATCCAATAAAAAATTATAAAGGTCACAGTCGCTCAAAATATCTCGTTCTAATGTCATAATTGTCGTCTCTCGTGTACTTTTTGTAACAAGAGACTGAATTAAGTCACTGATTCTATATAAATCAAGTGACAGATGAAATAAAAGAAAATTTCTGCAAATTTTGATAAGGCTCAAGGTAGCGTAACATTAGCTTCGGTAATCTTGAGCTCTAGACTATATGTTTTGTGTATTATAAGGGTCACAGTCGCTCAAAATCGGTCGTTCTAATGTCACAGTCGCCGATTCTCAAACAGCTCTTGTAATAAAATATCTAAGTTCATGGAACATTCAGTATTCAGTCCTTGAGGGTTCGATTTTATATAAATCAAGTGACAGATGAAACAAAAGAAAAATTTTAAATTTTTAATAAGGGTCAGATCCGCGTAACACTGACCTTCCTAACTTCGACTTGTGAACTATATTTTTTGTATGTACACATAGACAAAATAAAATGTTATAAGGGTCATATTTTAGTAATAAAAGAGTGAATTCAGTCCTTGACTGTACGATTTTATAACAGATTTCCATAAGACTCGGAATCGCGTTGTGTAGTAATCCAACAACAAATTACAAGGGCCAAAGTCGCTCAAAATCGATTTTTCTAATGTCATAATTGTCGGCTCTCAAACAATTTTGTAACAGGACACTGACTTCAGTCCTTCGCTGTGTAAATCCAGTAACAAATGAAACAAAAGAAAAACGTAAATTTTTTTTTTTAAGTCTCAGAATCGAATAACACCAGACTCAATCTCGAGATATATACAATTTTTTTTATAAGGGCGAAAGTCGCGCAAAAACGGCCGTTCTAATGTCTTAATTGTCGCCTCTCAAATACTCTTTTTGCACCAAAACACTGAATTCTGCGGTTTTATATGAAATGAAAGAAACATTAATAAGGCTCAAAGGCGTGTTTTTACCGAACCAGACCAAAAAAAAAAAAAATCAAAAGAATCTTTGTAATGTCACACTTGGCGACTCTCAAATCGCTCTGTGCTCTGCTAACATACCATTGAATTCCGCTTTCGACTCTATGATTTTCAAACGAAATAAGTGACTGCTCAAATAAAAGAAAATTGCTGATAAGGATCACAGTTGCTCAAAAGCGGTCTTGTTACAGCTGTCGACTCTCACATATTTTCTACAACTATATCGTCTAATTCCGGCCATGACGTGTAATTTTCTTATACTGCAGGAAGTAAGAGATCAAATAAAGGAAAGTCTGTTTGTGTCTGTTCAAAACTACTGGACCGATTGTTGTGAAATTTTATAAGTGTATTAGGAATATTGTCATCTGCAAAATTTGCATTACTTCAATTTTATAAAATCAATTAGGACTATTTGGGCTACAAAAAATTCCCCGTTCCCATCCCACTATTTTCCGTATCCCCGGTCGGACGTAAAAAGCGCGCCAGTTGCGCTTAAAGGCGTTATAATTCTCGGAACCGCGTAAACTGTGCCGTTTCTATTCAATTATTTACCCCTCGGGATAATACCGATGGGGTGTATCCGGCAGGAATCTTAA